GATGGTCCATTACATCCAGGGCAGTAGTGGTCTTCGGCAGGCGACCCATGTGGCGAAGTTTTTGACATGTTGGCATTGACGGTAGAATATTTATACTCGGAAGATGAAAAATTTTAAACTCATTTCTGCGGTATAGAGATGATTTGGTCCTTGCAAGACTAATCTAAATATTTAAAGTCAATCCTATAATTTTATCACAACTTTTGAATGCGCAGGAAAATAATATATTGCCTATCATTACTTGCATATGAAATAAAATTTATTTGTTCAAAGTGATATCTTGAAGTGACTCACACCTGAATATATCGCGAAGCTGTGCTGTAACCTCAAAAAAATAGTGCTAAATGTACTGCTCTTTAGAAGTGAAAACTATACTCGATTATACGCTCTGTCAGCTCTGCCGTCCATGGTTCTTAATTAATACGAGTCGACAATTGGATATAGTCCCATGGTTCAACCAAAGTGTTGCCCAGATTAGGCGGCACTCGCTTAAACCAAAGTGTTGACACAGTTTCGTGTCTAAATTTGAGTGTACTCGTCTTGGGCAAAACTGAATTTGGGTGTACTCGTCTTGGATAAAATTGAAGGACCAAATCATCATAAAAAAAGGCCGAGAGTTACATTTTTCATAAAAAAAAGGCCCAAAACGGATAAAAAGGCCAAATGAAATTTTTCAAGCCAATGCATATCAAAAAAGGCAACATTTGCGAAATTTGGCCTGAAAAAGGCCCATCTGGCAACACTGCAGAGGAGCCAAGAAAATAACTCCAATTTAGCTCACAAAAAAGGCCAAGAAGGCCCCATTTGAAATTAATCAGAAAATTTTAAATTTAATGTGGTTCTAACCATTTGCGGTGCATGCATTTACCCTCAAAGCTTTCAGACAGCAAAAAATACACCAATTTCATAAGTGTACGAGCTGAATTACCGTCAATGCTACATAAGCCGCCAGGCGCCAGCCTGCTGAGCTAATTGCACGCTACTCGCCGATTGGAAATATAACCGTATAATACACATGTGCAGAACTATAAAATTTAGGATTCGATTGCCACTTATAACAACTAAAAAGCTTTTCGATCGCGTTAGAAAGTTTTAACCCAGTTTTGCTAGCAAAATAGAAAGTGAAACGGCATACAGGCCATGGGCCTATGACATTCAGTGGTTCCCAAACTTTTTCAGGCTGGCGCCCCCTTCGGCTTCCTAGTGAATTTCTAGCGCCCCCCACAGACACATAAAAAAACAAACGCCTCATTCTTGAAATTTACTACGCTGCAATTTTAAAAGATGAAGGTTAAACTCAAATGTGTATTTCACAAATAGAACCCCATTTAGTGAACCAATATGTTTTTCAGCTGTTTTAACTGTTACAGCACTAGAAATCTAGGTCGTCTCGGGCAAATTTACGGCCAGACTCGTGGCCGGTCTCACGACCAATCTCCAAATTCAATTATCAAGTAATATCTCCCAAACTAATGAACGAAGCTCGATGAAACTTGGAACATGTATTCATCATAACCTAACGGTGATGTTTAGCTCGTGAGAATTTTTAAATTTCACCTTCATTCGCGAGTTATATTGCGATACAGGCTGAAATTCGCAGTGATCAAAGAATTTCTTCCAAACTATACTGAACAGATTTGAACGAAATTTTGAATATACATTCCTAACTACCAAACGGTGATTTTTTAGCTTAAAAACATTTTTTTCGATTTTACCATCGTTTGAAAGTTTTTCTTCATTTCGCCGTCATTCTTGATTTCACACTTCCTTATATTCGGCCCGTATCGCCGGATAATTTGTCGCTTGAATTCGAGGCGATCATTAAATTTCTTCGAAACTACTGAACAGATTTGAACGAAACTTCGTATATAAATACCTAACCTCCCAACGGTGACAATAAGCTCGTGACAATTTTTCTATTTTGCTTTCGTTCGCGAGTTATACAGATATAGGAGAAACGACCGGCTTTTCTATACCGGCCGGTTTAACCAAGAGCCGTTTACGTATATCCGTATAACTCGCAATTAAACGAAGGTAAACGAGCGAATTAAACATCTCCGTTGCTAAGGTTAGGTATTTAAATACTAATTTCCGTTCAAATCTGTTCAGTAGTGTGGAAGAAATTTCTTGATTACTGCGAATTTAAGCACGTATTGCTGTTTAAATCAGGAATGAAGGTGAAATGAAGAAAACTAGCGAACGAAGGCGCAATCGAAAAATTTTTCACGAGCTAAACATTACCGTTCGGTAGTTAGGACTGTAAATTCAAAATTTCGTTCGAATCTGTTCTGTAGTTTGGAAGAAATTCTTTGATCACTGTGAATTTCGGCCCGTATTGCCATATAACTATGGCAAAAACAAATGAAGGCAAAATTCAAAAAATTTTCACGAGCTTAACATTACCATTAGGTCCTTATAATGAATACGTGTACCAAGTTTCATCAAGTTAAGTTCATTAGTTTGAGAGATATTCCTTCGCCCGCTTCTTCCTTACCGCCCCCCAAAATCTTTCCACCGCCCCTAGGGGGGCGATATCGCCCACTTTGGGAACCACTGTATGTCTTCAACGCCGACACTTCTAAGTGAAGTGGCGTTGACGGTATTCGGCAAGTTAGTTTTAAGCATTGACGGTAGAATATTTATACGCGGAAGATGAAAATAATATATGAAAATGAATTCGAACTCATTTCTGCGGTAGAAAGATGATGTGGTCAAGAATAGAATAAGGTAAATATTAAAAGTCAATGCTATAAATTTATCACAACTTTTGAATGCGTAGAAAAGAAATATATTGCCTATCATAACTCGGAGAAGAGTAGTTATTTTATTTCTTCAAAGTGAAATTTTGTAGTGACTCACAACAGAAGGCTGAATGTATCGGGAAACAGCGCTGTAACCTCATAAATTAGTGCTGAATTTACTACTCTTTAGTAGTGAAAAGTATACTCGATTATACGCTCAATATTATTGCGCAATGTTTTGGTTGGCGCAACGCCATCGAGCGTCTAGTGGCTGTTTCTCTCAAGCTCTGCCATCCATGGTTATGAATACGAGTCAGCAACTGGATATGGTCCCATGGTTCAATCAATGTTGCACGAATTATCATAACATAATGATGTCGGCGCTAAAGAGTAGGCCTGCTGATGTGGCCTGTCGCCGATTTTTACTTTTAAGTGACTTGTTCACAGTTCTAAAATCGGGTCATTTGACCGGATCTTTTCATGGATGACGATTGTTTGAAATAGCTACTAGTCTTCCGCCGGGTTCGATATGGTGCTAGGCATTTCAAATCTGAACATATATTTTTCCATAGCTTTATCTAGTTTGTTCTTGAATGCATTCATAATCGGAGCGTCAACGATGCAATCGGGGAGGCTGTTCCTCATGTCAGTGTTTCGAAGCGAGAAAAAATTTTGGGGCGTGGATAAGTTGCAGCGCAGTTTTTTTGGTTCATAGCCGTGGCCCCTGGTGTTGGTTCTTGTTTCAAATTCCAGTAATCTTTCGTGGACC